ATATATTATTATTATTATTTTTAAGTTTTTTGTTTTAGTTTCAGTTAACTATAATAACTCTGATATTGTTTACAATGATGTTTTTGTTACTGTAGCAGTAGTAAAAAAGCATGATAAGTTATGATTGTTTTGGAGCAATTCATATGAGGACTGTTGTGAAATATATAAATGCAACAGAAGCGTTATAATAAATATTAATATAATAATTTGATTTTGGTGATCTATTCTCACCTGTGGTGGTGTTGTAGGTTCAGAGATACATCCCTGATTTTTCCCCCACATCTGTGAGGCCAGTTCAGGATATAATACATCAGTGAAGAGCGCCACCTTCTGGGCACAATCCGCCACATACACCGGCGGCCAAAACCAGGACGAAACCAGCAGGTCCAGATGATCTCGAGCACTTTCCCTGCAGACGATATACTTGGCTCCACAGACGACCTGCAGAGATCAGACTCACACATCAGCTCATCTCATCACATGATCAACACAGAGCTGTGCTGTAGTGAGTCTGCTACCTGATGAGGACAGACTTTACTGACTCTGCCTGCCGTCCACAGGCCGCTCTGCGAGTGTGAAAACAACAAAGACACAGTCCTGTCAAACGAGAACAGCAGGCCATTCTGTCATTAATACTACAGAATATTTCGAGTAACTCCACTTGACGTCTAGAAATGGCATGTGCAGGGAAGAGAAAGTGTGATAGAGTTGCTTTGTGTTACTGAATAATTAATATTAGTGATATTATGGCTTTGACTGCACCGACACTATCAGATGAGAACAAACTTTGAACTGAACTCATCTGAATAATGACACTATTGTGCTCTGTATTTTTGTGAATGGTCCACTGAAACAATTTCTTGTTTGTTTTGGTCCTGCCAATATACCCAGCATTTCTGGAATAAGGTGGAGGTTTTGATTGTTGATTTCGTTGTGATTTTGGGTTATTATATCCCAGATTGCTCTTTAAAGGATGTTGGTTTTATTATAAATTTTATTGTATTTTTATGTAAATTTCACATTCATAAATGCAAGTTTACATATGGCTAACCTCTTTTTATAGTGCTTGAAAAAGAAATTAAAATGAATATAGATGTGATGTCAAAATCTAAAAATAGTAAAGCAAATAAACGGTTAATATATGCTCCTCCTTTAACATTTTCACGGGGGCTGCATGATATTGTAAAAAACTCACATTGCAATATTTTTTTTCCCTGCGATATACAGTGGGTACGGAAAGTATTCAGACCCCCTTACATTTTATGAAGAAGAAAAAAATCAGATGACTTCAATAGCTCTATTTGGAGAAAAAAAATTAATGATTGGGGTGATTTTGTAGGCGAGTAAATCAGAATAGGAAATAAACAAATTACAAGCATAGATAAATAACAGAACAAAGATACAAATGAAATAAGTAGTGCTTTATATTTTTCAGGTAAGTCTTATGTATTCAGGTACAAAAACTGAAAAATCAAATGTAAAATAACACTGCATAGTTTTCACTATAAATTAAATCTAACAAATCTGTGTTAAAAGCTACAAAAGTTATTTTTATTTGTGTTTTGTTCATGACAGAGAAAGCAACAGGAACATTAAACTGCTGTGAACCGAAATACTGTTACACATCCATTTTCTTTCTCAATTGTTTACCTTCATCTAAACCATAAGCATCTGTGTTTACATGGATAGTTGCAGAACACACTATTTCAGGCACAAATAGTAGAAGTATAAATAAGAAGTGAACAGAAATCAGTGTTCACGTGCATCTGCGTGGCTCTGTGTCTACACCGGATGCAACAAAATACAATAGAACCCATTATAATCAGTGATGCTGTGTGACTGACTACACTGGATGCGGCGCGACACGACAAATCCCGACAGTAAACTGATGCCTCGTTCTATTTATGACGTACTGACACAAAGTTCAAATGATATGTAATGGTCGCTTTGTTGCGTCCAGTGTAGACAGACTTTGGGGCCATTCACATGTCGCATCTGAAAACGCCAGCCGCGCCGCTTTCTCCTTTCCAAAGTGCTCGGGAGCTTGCGCTTTCGTAGCGTCTGACATTACTAGCGACCGTGACCTGCGCTCTCCGCGACGACCCGGAAGTTTTAACAAAGGATTAATAAATTTCCAGCAGTATATATATATATATATATATACTGTGTGTGTGTGTGTGTGTGTGTTGAATGTTTTAACATATACTGTATTCCTGTGATGCAAACCTGTATTTTCAGCATTATTACTCCAGTCTACAGTGTCACATGATCCTTCAGAAATCAATCTAATATGCTGATTTGCTGCTCAGTAACATTTCTGATTATTTTAATGCTGAAAAAAGTTGTGCTGCTTCATATTTTTGAGGAAACTATTTTTTTACATGATTCTCTTATGAATATACATGCACCTTCTCAGATATGATCTTGATTGAAAATTATATATATGATTTGAAATATTGTGATTAACATAGTACTACTTAACTAGCCTACTTGCCGTCTTAACTTGTTTGGCTTCATTACCAGATATGATCTTGATTGAAAATTATATATATGATTTGAAATATTGTGATTAACATAGTACTACTTAACTAGCCTACTTGCCGTCTTAACTTGTTCGGCTTCATTACCCACCTTTGTACTGGTGAATCTGAGGGCCAGATATGCCTAGTCATATTTTCTTGTCTTTTCACCACACTGGACTCGACAAAGTGAACATTGCAAATCCAATTGTCCTTTGTGTCAGAGTGCTGGAGTTGGTCAGAAATACAGTGGGGCATCAGTTTACTGTCACGGATTTGTCGTGTCGCGTCGCGCTGCATCACTGATAGAACATCACTGGGTTCTACTTGCTTTTGTCACGTCACGCCGCTCGCGTCTGTTGTAGACACGTTGTTTTGTTATTGGTGAATCTTAAGTATATTCATAATCTGCTTTACGTTTACCTGGCACTGGCAGTATTTTCACAAACTTGTAACTTACATGCTCAGAGCAGAACCATGCATCGTTCATTTATATTTCTACATGGCTGGCTCCCTGCAATACAACTCTGATTCTTCAATTGCGCCAATTGTGGAAAATTACGCAGTCTAGTCTTTATCACCCTGCAGAGGTTTATTTGCAAAATAATCTGCTGACTGTAGCTGCATTATCCCTCAGCCTTGCCGTGCCCCCTTGTCATAGCTCCGCACCCCTCAGTTTGGGAACCACTGGGTTATAGTATGTAATAGTAATACAATAGTATTATTGTGTGTGTGTGTGTGTGTGTGTGTACTTTATCACTGTGTGTAGCAGCAGGAATCCCACACTTCTCCAGCACGTCTCTGAGCTCCTCTTCACTGTGCAGATCCATCTGATCGGGAATCAGACCCTCATGGATCAGCCGCACCAGGACAGACGGGTCCCCTGAAACACACACACAAACAGAGAGAATAATGCTGAATTCAAGCATTAAAGAACCAAGTCACCTTTATAATAAAGCCTGACATGAAACACTAGTCTGAAAAATCCACTGAAATGAAGCGGTTTATCCAACCTTTAGACAAAACATAAAAAAAAGGTTTGCATGTGTGTTTTATATTTTGTATCATATTTGATCCATCAGGCTTTTATGACTCATATAGTTTGGAGGGAAAACTGCTCAGTTTTATTTAGAGACGCAAACTGAGCAAAAAATGCCATTTAGTGCAGATGCTGATATTTATGTGGACAAAAAGTATGAAATTCTGATTGTAATGTAAACCAATGAGATCTTTATAACAGTATAGCAGATACTTACATGAAATGATATAAATATCAGTCATGGCGCTATCTCCAATAATGTGTGTTAGTTAGAGATGCAGCGATGGATCGGCCAGGGATCGGAATCGGCCGATTTTCCTCATGATCGGTGACCCTAATGTTCAGTTCCTGTGAAAAACTGTCCCACTGGGCGGAGTTTAGGTGATTATTCATTAGTTCCCCTAGTGTGGGCGTGTCTTTGAGACAACGCGCAAATGAATGGAACTGAAAATATTAGTGCAGGCTCCTCAAATCGCTAGGTGTTTAATTGATTATTTCGAAAAGGTAATGAAGTAGGCCAATCTGATAGATTTCAGTGATCTAAATAAAATGCAATACAAATGTAATTATTTTGATTACTGGCATCTTTCCCTGAGATGTAAACAGAAACCAGCCCCTTTATAGAATAGCACAAAGCTCCGGTATCCCGGAGTGCAGGACACTTGATGAGGCATCGTGGAAAGCGATGAGAAAAGTAACGGTTATCACATGACATCGCCCCCTTCTTCAGCATGGCTCTAGAGTCTAGACGATTTTTTTCAAACTTGAATAATGACACGGAGAAACTTTAAGAGACATTGCATTGAAAAATATACCCGTATAATATGATTTTTATTATTTCTACTCTCGAGCCGTTGTACCAGAGAACTTTCAAGCCGCTAAGCTTTGTCTGTTTTGAGAAGCTCATGTATTTATAATTGCCATTTATACATAACTCTTCTCTTTTTTTTGGTTGCATTGTTAAATCTAATGAAAATATATTAAAAGAAGCGACATATATATTCAAGTGAGGCACGAACAATCAGGCGTGATTTGTGTTTTGGCACGATCCAGACCAGATGAGTCGAGCGCGGATTGAATCGCGAGTCGTTCCTGCAGTTCGGCGGAGCACACGGTGAGAGGCGGTCTGGCTGGCGATAATGAATTAGCGGACGAATAAGAACAAACCCGGGTATGTCATGTGTATTTACGCGCTGTGCTATCCATACCAACAGCTGTTTGTTAATTAGCGCTGTTGTGAAGGTTTAATCGAGTGTTTCTGAACTCTGGGCATCTGCGAGGTCTCACAGAAAGCAAAACATTGGACAGACGATCTCATCTGTCTGTGTGGTCTAGTTCAGGGTCCGCTGACTCGACTGAAGGACCCGCTGAGCTCAGACACCACCCGGAGGAGATCCCGAGGAAGGCGGAGAGTGAGGTTCAAGCTGCAGTTCCTCCGGTACAGCAGGAGCAGAACCACATTACTAAAGACCGCACACAAGTGTGGTGCTATACTGATCATTAGTCTTGTTCTGTAATAAGCTAGTCCCCTTGAGAGGGACCCCATTGATAAATATAAAGTTAGCTGTATATGTTTGTATAAAATCTGTTTATACTGAGGATAATATTATATTTATTATTATTATGACCGGTGTTATTTTAGTAACAAGATACTATTATAATTTGTATTCGTTTTTTTATATTTTCTAATTTAATTTTTAGTCTGTTTTTGGCATTTTTATTAGTTTTTTTTATATTTTCTCATTTAATTTTTAGTCTGTTTTTGGCATTTTTATTAGTTTTTTTAATATTTTCTAATTTAATTTTTAGTCTTGTTTTTGGCATTTTTATTAGTTTTTTTTATATTTTCTAATTAAATTTTTAGTCTGTTTTTGGCATTTTTATTAGTTTTTTAAATATTTTCTAATTTAAGTTTTAGTCTGTTTTTGGCATTTTTATTAGTTTTCTTTCCTTTACATCTATATAGTTTTATCAATATTTTTAAATGAGTTTGGATTTTCATCTATTTATTTATTTATTTTATTTTTTTATTGTATTGTTGTGGGTTTTTGGCATTTTTATTTTATTTTTGTTTATAAAGGTATTTTTTAATTTTGTTTTTTAGGATTATTCCAGTTTGTTTTATTTATATAGTATGTATTATTTATTTATGTTATTTTAGTACATCAGTATGAAGTAAATAAAAATTGTTGCCTTGCCTAAAATAAGTCTTTTTTTTTATTTCAGTTAAAGTTTAAGTAACAAATATTTTTTCATGGATTTAGTTAACTGTAATAATCCTAATTATGACAACAAAATGAAAATAATTATAACATATCTAAAGATGAACTTATTTTTTCCCACAAATATTTTATTTTAGAAAAATATTTAGATGAAAAAAAAATCTCAATTATAAAAAGTTGTTGCAGTTAATGCCATGGTTTTTCTTTAGAAAGCAAAATGATTGTGATTGTTTTTTCATTTATTATTGTGATTATACTTTTAATCATATGAAAAATATAATTTTGTGAATAAAAAATACATACTTAATAATATCTTATGTGCATTTTGTTAAAAAAATAAATAAATTACCCAAATTTATCAAGGACCCTCTAACACCCCCTTGCCGTCCCCGGACCCCAGTATGAAAACTGTCTTAGTGATTACAAGTAAAAATAAACAAAGGTTGTATTTTCTGAACATGTTGCACTTTATACACGTTAAGATTGACAGCTGAATGCCTGCATTCCTCCCAACAGCTGAAACGGTCTGCTCTGTTTGTGTCTGTCCTGAAAGGGTGGCTCACTATTAGCATCTCCTTTCCTGAAAGGATTCCTGGCCGGGTATGTGCTTTCCAGACTGTGTTCCTCAGCCATCCTGGGAGTGGCTTTGGGAACCTTGACAGGAATCTACGCCGCTCAGAACTATGAGGTGCCCAACATCGAGACAAGCCTACGAGACTTCCTGAACTCTCTGAAGAAAGGACCGAGTGATTAACAGTTCGTTAGCAACCCAGTTCAGACTGAAGAGGAAAACATGCATCATTCAGCGTCACATCGGAGCTCCTGCCCTCCTGAACAAAACTGTTGAATTACTTAAAACTGTGGATTGAGGTCTATATGTGAGTGTGGATTTTGAACAGTTATGATAAAAAATGGGCATCATGTAGGGCTGCACAATTAATCCAAATCCAAATCACAATATAGCTTAATCCAATCGTAAAAGCGATCGAATTAAATAAATAAATGCGATGCGTGTGAATAGTGCATAGTGAAGCGTGGCACTGTGTTCAGTTACACGTCAGTTTAACACTTGAAAATGAAGAATTTAAGGCAAGACAAATATTAGTATTGTAATTTTACAGTTAATGTTATATTTTTATTTTACAGTGAAATTCTTGTTTATTTACGTATTAGTAATTAAAATAATTTCGTACAAATTGTCATTTACAGCTGTACTGCAAAATACATTTATTATATTGAAATATAGTTTTTCTTGAGTACTTGTTTTTTATTTTACAGTTAAATATTACAGTAGTAGCTTTTATTTTAATATTTTTATTTAGTAGTAATAATTTTGTAAAAATGTATTTCACAGCTGTACTGTAAAATTATTACACACTATTATAATGTTTAATATCGATATTATTTTAATATTTTTTCTTGAATTCTTATTTTTTATTTTACAGTGAAATTCGCGTTTAAGTATTAGTAATTAAAATAATTTCAAACAAATTGTTATTTACAGCTGTACTACAAAATACATTTATTATATTGAAATATAATTTTTCTTGGATGCTTTTTTATTTTACAGCTAAATATTACAGTAGTAGCTTTTATTTTAATATTTTTATTTTGTAGTAATAACAATTTTGTAAAAAATTTTATTTCACAGCTGTACTGTAAAATTATTACACTGTATTATAATATTTGTTTAATATTACTAATATTATTTTCATATTTTTTTCTTGAATTCTCATTTTTTATTTTACAGTGAAATTACAATAGTAATATTTTTATAAAAAAAAATTTTTAGTAGTATAGTAAAAATGTTGCTGCTGTTATTTTATAATCATATGGATATATAATCACAAAATCTTTGGCCAAATTGTGCAGCAAAAAAAAAAAAAATTCCCTCAAATCATGCAGCTCATGCATCATCCCCGTTTTGTTTAATACTGCACCGTAGAAGAATTGCATTTGTTTCAGTCTTTTGTGGAACTTCTTCCTGTACTTTCAGAAGCAGCTGTGGCTGACAGATGCTGAGCATGATTGTGATAGATAATGTTGGTTCGTCTGAAGCAGAACCTCCTCTTAGAAGACGCTGGCTTTGTCTCCTGCTTCTCCTGGTCCTTATTTACGGTTCCCACGCTCCTCTCATCTCCCTCACCATAGTTGACGGCCGCGTTCCCTTCAGCCCGTCGTCATGTGTGCTTCTGATCGAGTTCATCAAGCTCGTGCTTTCCTTCGCGGCTCTGGTGGCATCTGGAAATCTATCCGGCCTCAAAATATCAGCGTGGACGGTGGCACCATACGCCGTTCCTGCGCTTCTCTACGCTTTCAACAACAACCTAGTGGTGTTCATGCAAGCCTACATGGATCCCAGCTCCTTCCAAGTGCTCAGTAACCTAAAAATCGCGTCCACCGCGCTCCTCTACACGGCCTGCTTGGGAAAGCGGCTGCGACTGGGGCAGTGGCTCGCTCTGGGGATGCTCGTGGCTGCCGGTGTTTGTCACAGCTACTCCGGTTTGGAAGGGGAAGCCTCAGACGAATCCGCCGTCAGGCTCCACATCACGTCCTGGGGTCTGCTGTTGGTGCTTGTCTACTGTTTCATCTCAGGTTTGGCCGCCGTTTACACCGAACGGGTGCTAAAAACCCAGCGTCTGCCTTTGAGTCTCCAGAACTTGTTCTTGTACGTCTTCGGCGTGGGAATCAATCTGGCGTCGCATCTCTCTGGCGGCGGGCAGCAGGGGTTTTTTGAGGGTTTCTCTGCCCTCGTTTGGCTCATTATCGCGGGACAGGCTGCTAACGGGCTCCTCATGTCTGTCATCATGAAACACGGAACGGGAATCACGCGGCTGTTCGTCATCTCCTCTTCTATGCTGGTGAATGGGGTGTTGTCATGGGGGATTCTGGGAATACAGCTCACACCTTACTTCCTGTTTCCTGTGGTGCTGATTGGATGGGCCGTGTACCTGTATTACAGGTAGATCGGACGGCACTGAAGATGACTTTATTGCTTTTTTATTACTCTTTATAAGTAGTGAAGCGCAGCGTTTCTCTGATGGTTTAGTGTCTGTCTCCTGCTGTTTATTTTCTCAGCATGTGCCCTCAGATAGCTCTGTCTTCTGCCTTTGTCTTCTTTCTAGAAGTCCTCTTACTGTGAATGACCATCATCTCAAGACTGAATGTTTTTTTTTTCATATGCAAAATAAAAATTCATATTTAAAAAATCAATGTTCAATAAATGGTACAGCACACGTATTTAAGGCATATTTATGCAAATAAATATAATGGATCATTTTCAGTGGCCTGGTCAAAAATATCTTCAAAATATCTTCATGGAACATGATATTTACTTAATATCCTAATGATTTTTGGCATAAAAGAAAAATCGATAGTTTTGGCCCATACAATGTATTGTTGGCTATTGCTACAAATATACCCCAGCGACTTAAGACTGCTTTTGTGCTCCAGGGTCACATATATTCAATTTGCATCTCAAGTAAATGTATTGTGATTAAAAATGTTTAGATATTTGTATTGGGAAACAAAACAAGCATACTGTGGAAGATAGTCGTTTTGCACTGCATGCAACATTTAATGTCATGACTTTATGAAATTAAGGCTTTCTGCTTTGATTTAAGACCTTTTTAGCCCTCAATTTATGAAAAGGTGAATCAAGACTTTTTAATTTCCCTTACACTGGAAGGTTTTCCTGTGTAAGTCTCACTTTTTTACTGTTAGTGTGGACAGAAAATCTACTTGACGATTGCAATGCAATGGCAATACATTCCTGTTTGTTTTCACACATTCATCCTGGTAATCAAACGCCTGTCACCGATGCCCTCCATGGACATTAAGCTAAAAAGAACTCGATTTGATCTTTTCCAGTGACTTCTTTTTCCCGTGTTGGATCAGATGTGCCATGGAGCTGCTGGATTTCCTCCTGGAGCTGCAGGTTTTGTGAGGACAGATGAACCGCGTCCTGAATGGCGTCTAACAGCAGATTCCTGTACCTTCTCTCAGACATCTGCCTCTGTTCCTCCAGAACCTCACGAAATGCCTTGAACACCTACAAACACAACCAGCACAAAAACCACTAGATGACAGTATAATGATATATTAAAGGAAATGCAGCTCCTGTACATAACTACATAAAACTATATTTTTCATCAGGGGTTCTGAGCTCTGGCCCTTGAGGTCCACTTTCCTGTCGAGTTTAGCTCGAACTCTAATCAAACACACCTGAACAAGCTAATCGAGGTCTTTAGGATTACTGGAAAGTTACAGGCAGGTGAGTTTGATCAAGGTTGGAGCAGGAAAGTGGATCTCGAGGGCCCGAGTTCAGAACCCCTGTTCTTTATATTACAATGAAGGTTTATATGAGGAACATTATGATTTCTTATTAATATGATGCATGAGGAACAGATTGAAACTGATGTCGGTTTTCAATTAGGAATGTTTACGTAATTGTCGTCAATCTGAATGAATCCAATCTGGTTTCAGATTATGAAAGTTTGTGAGCCCTAAACTTATTTGCAATCCTTTTCACGTCTTAGCATAAATATGTCGTCACGTTCAGAACTGGAAAAAGGCACCGCTATAATGATTAGTTTAGTTTATTTATATAGCACATTTAACAACAGCCCACCAAAGTGCTTCACAGGCAGGTCAATTGTAAAAAAAAAAAATTGTAAATGTAAATTTAATTTTTTTAAATACATTTGTAGTTCTATAAAAATATTTAATACATTGTCTAAATGTTGAAAATTAAGAATAAAAACCAGGGATTGTTTTTATTTAGATTATATATATATATATATATATATATATATTAGTGCCGTCAAACGATTAATCGCATCCAAAATAAATGTTATTGTTTACATAATATATGTGTGTGTACTGTGTATATTTATTATGTATACATAAACACACACACATATATAGTATATATTTTGAGAATATTTACATGTATATATTTACATTCATATAATTTATATTATATATAAATATATTTAGTATATAAACATAACACATTTCTCTTAAATATATTCGTGCATGTGTGTGTGTTTATATATACCTAATAAATATACACAGTACACATATATATTACGTAAACAAATTTTTTTATTTTGGATGCAAATAATCGCGATTAATCGTTTGACAGCACTAATATATATATATATATATATATATATATATAATATTTTGTTAATATATCTGATAATTCTGTACACTTTGATATGCCTGTTTTTGTTTAGATGTTTTTTTTATTTATTCTCTTGAGTCCATTTTTTTTCTGTTCTTGTATTTATTTTTTATTTATATAGTTTTTTATTATATTTAATTGCTTTCCTTTTTTCTTCTCGCTTTCTAATTTAATGTTGTGTCCAAAACAAAGTCCTTGTTATAAAATAAAGGCTCTTTGTCAGCATCGAAGGAAGAACCAACCATGGAATATTTCTATTGATCAAAAGGATCTTTATAGCTGAAAAAGTTATTTAGATTCATAAAATGTTCTTCACACTAAGAATAAGAATGGTTCTATTAGGAACTGTTTTCTGAAAGCTTCTTTGAGGAACCAAATATGGTTTTCTATGGCATCTCCCCTATGGAACCTTTATTTTTTTATAGCTGACTAATTTGAATACCTTTTTGTAATATTTTTGCTTCTCCCAGTTTCTCCTAAAAAAAACATCCTAAATGCTGACTCGGTGTTGTTCCTCAGTAGATGTTCACCTGCAGACTCTCTTCTCTGAGGGTGTTGATCTCCTGCTGGTGTTGTCTGCTCTGGGTCTCCAGGTCTGCATACGCCTGCTGGTTCTCCCTGCGCAGCGCCTCGATCTGAAGAACCAGGATGTGTCTCTCTCTGCGCAGGTACGACATCTCGCCCTCCACACCACCCATCTGCAGACGGGACAGAGTCAGTCACATGATCAGAACAGCCTGTTTGAACTCTGCTTATTTAACTCAACCAGAACTCACCTGAACACCACAATAAAAACTGTTACAGGTCTTAAACACTGACAACAATTTATAAACTACATTTTATAAACGGATTGACCAATCAGAAGCCAGGACTGGAAATATCTGTTTTATTAAAAGGGTCATGAACTGAGAAATCAAAATTCCCTTTATTTTTTGACATATACTGTAAGAGCTCATTGTGCTATAAAAACATTCTGTACGTTTCAGAACTCAAAACTTTCTCGTTAGTCTAAAAACAGCTTATATTGAAGCCAGTCTGCCAAAACAACAGCTTGTGGAATCAATGTTCCACTCTATGATGCAATAGTGTGGATAAACACCGCCTCCGCAGAAGATCAACGCCTGCTTCTACATCACTGCCTGTTTAGACCCACCCACCAATTCTACATAACTGTTTGTTTAGCCCCGCCCACCGATTCTATATCACTGTTTGTTTAGCCCCACCCACCGATTTTACATCGCTGCTTGTTTAGCCCCGCCCACCAATTCTACACTGCTGCCTGTTTAGCCCCGCCCACCGATTCTATATTACTGCCTGTTTAGCCCCGCACACCGATTCTATATCACTGTTTGTTTAGCCCCACACACCGATTTTACATCGCTGCTTGTTTAGCCCCGCCCACCAATTCTACACTGCTGCCTGTTTAGCCCCGC